AAAAGCTGGACGTGCACAAGTCCATGGGGCTGGATGCGTTGCATCCGAGAGTGCTAAAGGAGTTGGCGGCTGTGATTGCAGAGCCATTGGCCATTATCTTTGAAAACTCATGGCGATCGGGGGAAGTCCCGGACTGACTGGAAAAAGGCTAAAGTAGTGCCCATCTTTAAAAAAGGGAAGAAGGAGGATCCTGGGAACTACAGGCCAGTCAGCCTCACCTCAGTCCCCGGAAAAATCCTGAAGCACTTACGGGAGAGGAAAGTGATCAGAAACAGTCAGCATGGATTCACCAAGGGAAAGTCATGCCTGACTAATCTAATCGCCTTCTATGATGAGATTACTGGTTCTGTGGATGAAGGGAAAGCAGTGGATGTATTTTCTTGACTAGCAAAGCTTTTGACATGGTCTCCCACAGTATTCTTGTCAGCAAGTTAAAGAAGTATGGGCTGGATAAATGCACTATAAGGTGGGTAGAAAGTTGGCTAGATTGTCGGACTCAACGGGTAGTGATCAATGGCTCCATGTCTAGATGGCAGCAGGTATCAAGTGGAGTGCCCAAGGGTCGGTCCTGGGGCCAGTTTTGTTCAGTATCTTCATAAATGATCTGGAGGATGGTGTGGATTGCACTCTCAGCAAGTTTGCGGATGATACTAAACTAGGAGGAGTGGTAGATACGGTGGCAGGTAGGGATAGGATACAGAGGGCCCTAGACAAATTGGAGGATTGGGCCAAAAGAAATCTGATGAGGTTCAACAAGGATAAGTGCAGGGTCCTGCACTTAGGACAGAAGAATCCAATGCACCGCTACAGACTAGGGACCGAATGGCTAGGCAGCAGTTCTGCGGAAAACGACCTAGGGGTGACAGTGGACGAGAAGCTGGATATGAGTCAACAGTGTGCCCTTGTTGCCAAGAAGGCCAATGGCATTTTGGGATGTATAAGTAGGGGCATAGCCAGCAGATCGAGGGACGTGATCGTTCCCCTCTATTCGACATTGTTGAGGCCTCATCTGGAGTACTGTGTCCAGTTTTGGGCCCCGCACTACAAGAAGGATGTGGAAAAATTGGAGAGAGTCCAGCGAAGGGCAACAAAAATGATTAGGGGTCTGGAACACATGACTTATGAGGAGAGACTGAGGGAACTGGGATTGTTTAGTCTGCGGAAGAGAAGAATGAGGGGGGATTTGATAGCTGCTTTCAACTACCTGAGAGGTGGTTCCAAAGAGGATGGTTCTAGACTATTCTCAGTGGTAGAAGATGACAGGACAAGGCGTAATGGTCTCAAGTTGCAGTGGGGGAGGTTTAGGTTGGATATTAGGAAAAACTTTTTCACTAGGAGGGTGGAGAAACACTGGAATGCGTTACCTAGGGAAGTGGTAGAATCTCCTTCCTTAGAGGTTTTTAAGGTCAGGCTTGACAAAGCGCTGGCTGGGATGATTTAATTGGGGATTGGTCCTGCTTTGAGCAGGGGGTTGGACTAGATGACCTCCTGAGGTCCCTTCCAACCCTGATATTCTATGATTCTATGAACCGTTTCCCCCCTATATTGTGGGTGGTATCTGCACCAAGAAGGAAATGGGGTTTGATCTGCAAAGCCTTACTCATGTTGATGTCAGTGGTTCTGTGACAGAATGTGCAGGACAGAACTTTTATTTCATATATGGCAACACTTATTCTGTCTCTTTCACTTCCCCTAAACCTTCATTATTCTTATGGTTGAGGACAAAACTGGTAATTTCAGCCAATGGGATTTTTTTTTTTAAATTTTAAAACAAAACAAATAAACACCACTTTTCATTTAAAGTATTGGTCACTGTCCTATTAAGACATAAATATACTTCAAGGTCATGGCAACAGGGCCAGATTCTGGCCTTTTGTTAAGGCTCTTTTGTGGTGTTCTGGTACCTTAAAACAACCTTAAAGGTAGCTTGACTAACTAACTCAGGAGTTCCCTAGAAGCATAGAGCTAGCATATCAATTCCTATGCCCCCTGGCTCTTGTGTAGGGAGTGCTGCTGGAGAAAGTGAGGGAGGGTGATTGGACCACTGCTGCGCTCTGCTGATCCATGATTGTCTGACTGGCCCTTTGGGGGTTGATGCTCCTAGTGTAACTTAAGCAGTCCTGAGGCTTTAAGAGAATGAAGAATCAGGCTCAGTGCTGTTTAATTTGGTGCTAGTGGAGGGTGAAATCAGGTTCAAAATGAATATTTATATATCCTTGCCAACAAAGTTAAGAAAGCAAGTAGGTCTGTCTTTGAAACAAGACCTTATTGTAAATTAACTAATATTTAGTTATATGTAGCTTCCCTCTATAAAGATTTGAATATTAAAGAAAAAGTGAAATATTTTTTCCCATAAGCAGCCTGCTTTGGGTGGCTGGGAGTGTTCTAATTGTGGTCCCTGACAAGTGTACCTTTGGTTAAAAAGAAAAATGCATAAGTCTCATGAGGATCTGAGATTTAAGTGCAACTTGATGTTATCGTAGGAGAACACTTTCTCTTTGCTTCCTCAGGTTATGCCTTTTTGAATGTAATGAATGCGTCACTCAGGGAATTTGAAACTTACTCCTCATTTCCACACACATTCATTGTACCAACACTAAACTTTTTCTAAGCATCTGAAGGTTTTATTAATAAACTGTAACCCTTTAAATGCTACTGGAAGCCTTTTTAATTAAAATGACCATAATGTTTCAATGTCAGACTCTCAGCTATTGCTGTAGAATTTGAGCATTTTTGGAATGGATTTCTGTTCTTCGAGAACCAGTGAAACATACAGGCAGAGTAGCTGAATAACTAGATGTTGAAAGAGCCTATTTCTTTAAAGATTAGCTTTTGATCTTCGCATTGCTGCAGAGAAGGTGAATTCATCATTCTTTCAGGCAGTGTTTCCCTATTTTAGCTTGATTCCATGCTGTTATTCTTTTCATTGTAGAAGTGTCTCTTTTTTTCTTTTCTCTGAGGGAAAGCAGATCTGACTGGACATTCCTCACCCTGACAGATAAGGATGTGCTGAACATCGAGCTATGCTGCCAGCATTTGTGCACATCCATTTCTGTAAGGGGGGAGACAGTGTTCCCCAGTGAGATGTATAATTTGCGTATGGGAGCAGGCACTTCAGCACTGTAACCCAAAGTTACTTTATCACCGAAGCGTGAGGTGATAGTGCATAAAAACACAGGCAGTAATTTGTGTGGGCATTTTCACTAAAGAAAATTTAGGGAACAGGTTGGATAAAAATAACAAGTAATACACATGAGCAAAACCATTTCCATACCCAGATCTCATGAAGATGTGTAGTCATAGCTTGTGTTCAGCATCTTCCCCATCACAAATGTTCACAACCTCAATGTTCTGTTTGACTTCTCTCTCTCTCTCATCTTCCTATATCCAGACTTGCATCAAATTTGGTTGCTCTATCTTGAACAACTTCTTTAATATTAGTCCTTTTCTCTCTGCCACTACTGCTAAAATCCTTGACTGCTCCTTAGTTATACCTTGCCTTCAACGTAAATATGGAATTCATACCCCTATTACCAATCAGCCAAATCCTGAAGTCCCTACTCTATACCAGAATCTGATATCTGTTATTGTCTAGCATGGAATTTTTCCAATATAATTAAGATCAGAATCTGGCCCTCAGTGTTCACTCAGGCAAAATGCTGTGCCAGATCCTGAGCCCTACGCAGGTGGTATTTGGGCACATTTTTTACTGATGTCAGTCAAATCCTGAACTCAGTTCTGACTCAAGCAAAGCTTTTGTGGGTAAAGTCTTTGGGGGATTTGCCCGAGTTTGACTTCAGAATTTGGCCCATCCAGTGACAACTATTTATTGCAACATTCTGTAAATAACTATCCACCCAGACACAGCATAAAGGGGAGACTTGTAGACGTAGGAACATTTCTACTGTGCATGCTCATTATGCAATCTTCAAATAGTTACGTCTTTGTTTAATCAGAACTAATTTGTTTTCACACTTGGCTTCAGTGAGGACTATGGCCATGTTAAGTTTCAAACTTCAGCCATTTTTTTCAGTAGTGTTGTCTAAAAGAGTGAGATGATGATTTTTTGTGATAGGAAAATGTATTTATTTTTCATTTTCTCATAACTTTAATGTGGCCTAAAGGGTTTTGGATCAAGCATGGAGAATTTCAGCTGTGAAGGTGAATGGTTCAGAAAGTTATGAACATAAAAACAAGACCATATCATAGTAAAATAATAATAATATAGCACTTCTTATCAATAGATCTCAAAACACTTTACCAATGAGGTAATAAAAATTGTTATGTTACTGAAACTACCAAGTTCTCACTATCCTTTAACTATTGATAATAGCATATATATTTTACTAAATAAAAATAGGACTGTAATTATTCAACAAATTATCTTTAACACTGTGAACTAGCAAGACTAGATGACTGGTAACTGGCTATGGACCCTTTCACTGCTATATCAATGGTTTAAATTCACCCAGAACTAGTAGTGACAGATTATCTTTATTGTATTAGTTGTTCAGTGGCTGTTCAATTACTTAAGCAAAATGAATAGGTGATTTCAGTCCAGTTTTTATTTAACAGGTGTCCACGTCACAATAATTGGCATCCTTGTTTCACTCTTATTGGAGTAAATTTATATAGAATGGGTAGACCCTTATTCCTTTAAAAGCACTCTCTTCAGACCACAGTTGAGCCATGCTAACAGGGTAAAAAATAGGGAAGCTACCAGTTTTTTCCTTATTTCATGGGTAAGTGGAACCGCAGTTGCTGTCAATCTGGAACTTGTCACTAGCACCAATACATGCATTTTAATTTCATTGTATTTATAAAATAAATCTGCTCTGAGTTCCTTTCACATATGGAAAGGCTGTAGCATTGTGTAGTACAGTAGAAGACCGATAATCCTTTCCTGGGGTTCAAACCAATGTGTCAGAACCAGTATTTTTCCGTGTTCTATTCATTAGTGACTTGATGGATATTTATTCACTTTATATGTTCTGTTCCAGTGATCCACCATTTTTCAACAAAGGAGCGGCGTGTGCGAGCAATAAAGGAGATGGCTCGCACCTTGAGAGTAGGTGGCCAGATGATGATATACGTGTGGGCAATGGAGCAAAAACGGCGAAAATTTGAAAAGCAGGATGTCTTTGTTCCTTGGAATCCTTCACCACCTTCCTGGACCTTGAGTAACACTTGTTCGCGTGGAATACAGAAATCAATTAATCAAAAGGACAAAAGGCTGGCTTTGGACCAACACTCCGCTAAGTTAGCTGGCACTTTGAAAGCAAGAAGCTCATCTTTTGTGAGGGAGAAGGAAACCATGCAAAACTTATTTGAAAAATCCTTGAGATGGTCTCTCTTTTCAGGATCACTTGATTCAGTATTAGACTTGAGTAATCAGTGGCACCAAAGAGAGCTTAGCACATTTTCCAATTGCAATATTCAGCTGGATGAATCAAACAGGGGAAAGCTTTTTGAACAAATCAGGCAAGGTGGCTTCATGAAGCATATTTCCAACTTGTCTTTGCGTTGTAGGCAGAATTCCGAAGATAAGGCTTCTGAAGTAGCTGTAGAACCAGGGTCACCTATGATATTTCACCCAGTGCCTTTCAAAAGTTGTTGTTCAGAATTAGGCCAGGACACTAAGCAGCCCCCAATGTCTCCAGCTATAATTCATGACTGCAGCAGAGTGTGTTTACCTGACCTGCTTTCCCATCAAAAAGATATCAAACAGCAACTTAAAATAGATTATCACCCAAAACAATCAAGTTTCCACAAACTCCAAAACAGAAGCAAAACAGACAGCTCTCTACAGGATACAGACAATGATTGTTCCATGGCCACACGGAACAAACAGCTGCAAAGGAGTCCAAATGGGGCTTGTCTTAGGTACTACCATGTTTTTAAAGAAGGGGAGTTGGTTGAACTGATTGAACATCATGTTCCTGAGCTACATGTTATTCATTCATACTTTGACCATGCAAATTGGTGTGTGATTGCAGAAAAGATTCATGTGTGGAAGATCTAGGGGAAGATTTTCAAAGGCACAGATGCCTGACTACATTTGAAAGTCAATGGGAGTTCGGTGCTTGGTGTCTTTGAAATCGTCCCCCAAGCTTTTTATCCCCATCTTGTGCTTTGACTCTCTCTGTGACTTTTGTTTTGTACTTGACTGTCACTTTATCATTTTATAGAAACATTTCCTTCTATAATGGTAATTTCAGCTTGGATACATTTTAAGATACATTGGATATGATTACAGGTTGGATACATTTTTCCAGGGCTTTTTAATAGTAGCTGTCAGTTTTGCTTTTTGTTGTTTTAGAATAGTTAAAATGCATTTATAAGTTTTCCCTGTTGGGATGTTTTTATATGAATATTAAAGATGTTTGTTATTCATTTATAATAATTTATTATCTTTAATGTCTTTTTATAATTAAAATGTATTATGTGTTGGGGCTTGGAGTAATATAAGGCTGATGGTACTTTGAGAAGGATTCATTATTTTATTACAGTCTGCCTATCATTCTATATGATACCTCAAGTCACAGTAGAGAGACAGTCCTCCTAAAAGAAGTACCAGGTATATATAACCCAAGTACCAGAGACAGTAGCTGGGGACACCCAGTCGGATAAGTTTAGACAGCTCATCTGTTGCCCCCTAACTGTCACAGGTAAGAATACAATGGACCTACTCAAGTATATATCACAACATAACCTCCCACCACCACCACCCAATAAATCTTAAATCTGTGTATTTCTCTGAGTTTGACATGTATGTTCAAAACAAAAATCTTCTTCTTCTCTGTCACAAAATCTGGGAGAAGAATCAAGGGAATTCTTAATAAGCCATTTAAATTGCTAAAATGAATGATGATGATGATGATACAGAAAAATGCTTGGATGACAACAGGTGAATGCAAGGAAATAGTATTTATCAACACTAGCATGCAATCGTTATGCTTTTAAGACTTTTTTCATCTATAGACAAAGTTTTCTACAAGGGAGGTAAGTTTCATTATTCCCGTTTTACAGATAGGGAAACTTGCTCAAAGCCACATAGCAGGTCAGTGGCAAAAATCATCAGTTATTGCTGTCCCTAATGGTCACTGCTTTAGGTGGTTTGTGTTCTTCCTCCAAAGGTTTTCACTAGTTTCTTTTCTTTAGGTTCTGGAATCACGAAACTAAAAAGTAATCCTGTTTTCTCACTGGGGAAAGACACTGTCATGTCCAGTGCCTTAGGAAATTCTTAATGTGTCTTACTAAGAATTTAGCCTTATGTATGTTGTATCTTAAAGAGTAGTAAGGAACAGTACAGTAATCAATGTTTTTAATGTAACTTTAATTCAATTTGGCTGTAATATCTCTAATGAAATTTTCTCTACTTCCTGAAATACAATTTATGTAATCTGCAGAGTACTGTGCTACATATTATATTTGCAGGGAAACAGACTGCTTAATCTAATTGGTCTCTTCCATCCATAGTGTCTGTTTCCACAATACTGGGCTTTTTCCCATGATGTTAGTACTTTTGTGCAAATGAACAAAAATCATTATTAGCTTCAAAATATAAATACAGCTATAATTATGTTATATCATTGTTCCACAGTGAAAGGATTTTAATAGTTTCCCGAACTGTGACTTTATAATGTATTAAGTGGCAGTGATGTCATTCTACTTTACAGACTTTCACTAATGTGTCATCCATTTTCCCATTGTTTAACAGATTGTTAACCTGCAGAAAAGCTATGGATAAGTGCGTTTGTCTGGAGCAGCCAATCTCTCCCCTTGAACTCTGGTATTTCCAGAGCAATCTGATCCATTGTTCTCCCAGAAAATGTTCAGTCCTCCCAGACACCAACTAAAGTATCTCATCTTGACTTTCTTCTCCCAGTTACAAAGTTGCACCCTGCTGCTCCTACTAATGGTACCATCCACCCCAGCTACCAGTTGTCTCCCTCCCTGCTCCAAAATGTGATATGCCACCATCTGAGTTCTAATACTTCTGGTCCTGCTGCTGTTCCTCCTCCCACAGACATGTGCCTGAACCGGACCCACGTGACAGATGGTAGCCAGCTTATCTTAAAGGAATTTTACCTTCTGTAGAAATACTTAGGTTTCTAGCAACTTCTGTTCTTTATGTGTGCTTCTCAGAGAAATTAATTTCTCAAGTGAGGGCCTACCTTCATGCGCATGGTGCTACTAAGAATGGTGATTAGTCAGCCTTAGAGAAGAACAAGAAATAATGACTTTTGGTCCAATGCTGAAGTGGTGAGTGCCTTCGACTCCTATGAAGTCCAGGGGCAGTTCAGGGTACTTAATCCGTCACAAATGATGTTCAGCACCTCACAGGATAGGGCCCTAATTATGTGAGGTTTGCAGTAGAGAAAATAAAAACAGCATTAACATGGACAGAGGAAAAAGGCAATATTATAGGACAATATCCAAACATCGATGCATGTTTCTAAACGTTCGCAAGCCGAAACTGCCATTTATAAAGGAGTGTGTTTTCTGTGGTTACCATTGACAAAGCCCAAGAATCAGTTATCTCAGGATTTACCACTTTATCAGGAAGGCAAAATCATACCTGGAGTTGCAGCTAGCAAGAGATGTTAAGAGTAACAAGAAGGGTTTCTTCAGGTATGTTAGCAACAAGAAGAAAGTCAAGGAAAGTGTGGGCCCCTTACTGAATGAGGAAGGTAACCTAGTGACAGGGGATGTGGAAAAAGCTAATGAACTCAATGCTGTTTTTGCCTCTGTCTTCACGAACAAGGTCAGCTCCCAGACTACTGCACTGGGCAGAACAGCATGGGGAGGAGGTGACCAGCGCACTCTGGAGAAAGAAGTGGTTCAGGACTATTTAGAAAAGCTGGACGAGCACAAGTCCATGGGGCCAGATGCGCTGCATCCGAGAGTGCTAAAGGAGTTCGCGGATGTGATTGCAGAGCCATTGGCCATTATCTTTGAAAACTCATGGTGATCCGGGGAAGTCCCGGACGACTGGAAAAAGGCTAATGTAGTGCCCATCTTTAAAAAAGGGAAGGAGGAGGATCCTGGGAACTACCGGCCAGTCAGCCTCACCTCAGTCCCTGGAAAAATCATGGAGCAGGTCCTCAAGGAATCAATTTTGAAGCACTTAGAGGAGAGGAAGGTGATCAGGAACAGTCAGCATGGATTCACCAAGGGCAAGTCATGCCTAACTAATCTAATAGCCTTCTATGACGAGATAACTGGCTCTGTGGATGAGGGAAGAGCGGTGGACATGTTATTCCTTGACTTTAGCAAAGCTTTTGACACTGTCTCCCACAGTATTCTTGCCAGCAAGTTAAAGAAGTATGGGCTGGATGAATGGACTATAAGGTGGATAGAAAGTTGGCTAGATTGTCGGGCTCAACGGGTAGTGATCAATGGCTCCATGTCTAGTTGGCAGCCGGTATCAAGTGGAGTGCCCCAAGAGTCGGTCCTTGGGCCGGTTTTGTTCAATATCTTCATAAATGATCTGGAGGATGGTGTGGATTGCACCCTCAGCAAGTTTGCAGATGACACTAAACTGGGAGGAGAGATAGATACACTGGAGGGTAGGGATAGGATACAGAGGGCCTTAGAAAAATTGGAGGATTGGGCCAAAAGAAATCTGATGAGGTTCAAGAAGGGTCGGTCCTGGGGCCGGTTTTGTTCAATATCTTCATAAATGATCTGGAGGATGGTGTGGATTGCACTCTCAGCAAATTTGCGGATGATACTAAACTGGGAGGAGTGGTAGATACGCTGGAGGGGAGGGATAGGATACAGAAGGACCTAGACAAATTGGAGGATTGGGCCAAAAGAAATCTGATGAGGTTCAATAAGGATAAGTGCAGGGTCCTGCACTTAGGACGGAAGAACCCAATGCACAGCTACAGACTAGGGACCGAATGGCTAGGCAGCAGTTCTGCGGAAAAGGACCTAGGGGTGACAGTGGACGAGAAGCTGGATATGAGTCAGCAGTGTGCCCTTGTTGCCAAGAAGGCCAATGGCATTTTGGGATGTATAAGTAGGGGCATAGCCAGCAGATCGAGGGACGTGATCGTTCCCCTCTATTCGACATTGGTGAGGCCTCATCTGGAGTACTGTGTCCAGTTTTGGGCCCCACACTTCAAGAAGGATGTGGATAAATTGGAGAGAGTCCAGCGAAGGGCAACAAAAATGATTAGGGGTCTGGAACACATGACTTATGAGGAGAGGCTGAAGGAGCTGGGATTGTTTAATCTGCAGAAGAGAAGAATGAGGGGGGATTTGATAGCTGCTTTCAACTACCTGAAAGGGGGTTCCAAAGAGGATGGCTCTAGACTGTTCTCAATGGTAGCAGATGACAGAACGAGGAGTAATGGTCTCAAGCTGCAGTGGGGGAGGTTTAGATTGGATATTAGGAAAAACTTTTTCACTAAGAGGGTGGTGAAACACTGGAATGCGTTACCTAGGGAGGTGGTAGAATCTCCTTCCTTAGAGGTTTTTAAGGTCAGGCTTGACAAAGCCCTGGCTGGGATGATTTAACTGGGAATTGGTCCTGCTTCGAGCAGGGGGTTGGACTAGATGACCTTCTGGGGTCCCTTCCAACCCTTATATTCTATGATTCTATGATAAGGACAAGTGCAGAGTCCTGCACTTAGGATGGAAGAATCCCATGCACCGCTACAGACTAGGGACTGAATGGCTTGGCAGCAGTTCTGCAGAAAAGGACCTAAGGGGGGGAAAAAACCTTTTGTAGTGATTGAAAGGCCTCCCCCACCCCCGCTCCCCTGATGGTAATAGCTCACCTTACCTGATCACTCTCGTTACAGTGTGTACGGTAACACCCATTGTTTCATGTTCTCTGTTTATATAAATCTCCCCAGTGTATTTTCCACTAAACGCATCCAATGAAGTGAGCTGTAGCTCACGAAAGCTTATGCTCAAATAAATTTGTTAGTCTCTGAGGTGCCACAAGTCCTCCTTTTCTTTTATCTAAATATGCATTTTCTATATAAGAAAAGATGGAGTTCTTCGAGTGCTTGCTCATGTCCATTCCATAGTAGCTGTGTGTGCTAGCCACATGCACTGGTGCCAGAAGTTTTTCTCTCAGCAGTGTGGAAGAAAAACGCAGTTTTCACTTTTAGGTTGTTTGCAACAAGTCAGAGACAGTTTATTTTCAAGCAATTGCAAGGGGGAGAGTGCGCATGGTCATGGCTTCCCCCTTCCTAGGCAGGTCTCCGCCAGGTAAACAGTTAGGGCAAGCATTTATACCTTTTGTTGCATACAAAATGATCAACAGCCAAGTCTTGTTTATACGTATTCCTTCCTGATATCTTACTGTTTTAAGCAGTTCCTGCTACAGTCTGCATTTCATTTTTATCTAACACAAGGTCAAAACAGCATCTCTTACAGTTTTTCCACTCACTTCCCACTCGCCCAGGCCCTGCCGTAAAGTCTCCCGTTATTAGAGTTAGCCTGACTTTTGCTCTATTCCTAAGTAAACTAAGTTGTCTGCGTTTAAAATTTCCTTTATCCCTTTTTCCGCTTTCACAGCAGTATCCTTAGGGGTCTGGCTCTGGTGTCTCCTGGAGTGGCGCCTGCATGGCACGGTATAAAGGGCACCACCGGCTCCCCCCACCTTCAGTTCCTTCTTGCTGCCAGTGATGGTGCTGGAACATCTGCTGCTTTGGCTAGCATTGTTTCGTTTTCTGTTCTTGTAAACTTTGAAAACCTTTAATATATATATAGTTAGTAGTTTCTTAGTTACCCTTAGTAGTAGTTCTCAACTTTTTGTTAGTCCCAAACAGGACTTGGACGGGGCATGCCCTGGTCCCCAGGCTATAAGCCCTGCAATCATTGCAAACGGCCTATGCCCATTAGCGATCCACATACCAGCTGCCTAAGGTGCTTAGGCAAGGGGCACATAAGTGACAAGTGCCGTATCTGCAAGTTCTTTAAACCTAGGACAAAGAAGGAGCGCGATATCCGTCTAAGAGTGCTCCTAATGGAGTCGGCACTTACTCTGGCACCAGAGCAGCAGTCCGACTCTGCACCGAGCACCGCAGCCTCCATGCACAGTGCTCCGTTAGTTCCAAACAAGCCGGCACCAGTCCCTTTCCATGGCTCTGGTAAAGAAGCCGAAAAACACAGGGAGGAGAAGATCTATCTCCTGTAAGGGAAAGGAGAGGGCTGGGGGTTAGCCACAACCTGTGCTGGACAGCTCAAAGCCCCCATTGGGAACTCAGGCCCCAGCTCAAGTCAAGTGGTGCAGCCCATCCCATGCTTTGCCTGAGACCCCAGATAGCGGTGCAGGCCCAAGCCAGCTTCAGGTGTCATCGACATCTGAAGCTCTTCGAGCGGCTCAGGAGATCCTGACGCTCCCAGTGCTGCCCACAATAGCTCCAGCAGTACCCTGGTCTCAGGGAAAACCTGTGTTAGGACCTGTGTGTA